ATGTGTGTGCGGGACGCATGCGGGCACACCCACTGGGACCTTCGGTGGAGCCCCCTATGGGGCCACGAAACGTGTGAGGGTGTGCCGAAATGGGTGTGCGGGACGCATGCGGGCACACCCACTGGGACCTTCGGTGGAGCTCCCTATGGGGCCACGAAACGTGTGAGGGGTGTGCCGAAATGGGTGTGCGGGACGCATGCGGGCACACCCACTGGGACCTTCGGTGGAGCTCCCTATGGGGCCACGAAAAATGCGGGACGCATGCGGGCACACCCACTGAGACCTTCGGTGGAGTGGGGCCACGAAACGTGTGAGGGGTGTGCCGAAATGGGTGTGCGGGACGCATGCGGGCGGGCACACCCACTGGGACCTTCGGTGGAGCTCCCTATGGGGCCACGAAACGTGTGAGGGGTGTGCCGAAATGGGTGTGCGGGACGCATGCGGGCACACCCACTGGGGCCTTCGGTGGAGCTCCCTATGGGGCCACGAAACGTGTGAGGGGTGTGCCGAAATGGGTGTGCGGGACGCATGCGGGCACACCCACTGGGACCTTCGGTGGAGCTCCCTATGGGGCCACGAAACGTGTGAGGGGTGTGCCGAAATGGGTGTGCGGGACGCATGCGGGCACACCCACTGGGGCCTTCGGTGGAGCTCCCTATGGGGCCACGAAACGTGTGAGGGGTGTGCCGAAATGGGTGTGCGGGACGCATGCGGGCACACCCACTGGGACCTTCGGTGGAGCTCCCTATGGGGCCACGAAGCGTGTGAGGGGTGTGCCGAAATGAGTGTGCGGGACGCATGCGGGCACACGCACTGGGACCTTCGGTGGAGCTCCCTATGGGGTCACGAAACGTGTGAGGGGTGTGCCGACATGGGTGGTGATAATGATGATGACGACAGATGATGATGACGATGACGATGATGGGGATGATGACGATGATGATGAAGATGGGAGGAGGGAGGGGGCAGCGGGAAGGAAGGAAGGAACGCGGGGCGACGTCTCTTCAAAACGAGGACCCAACACCACAGGATGGTTGGGAAAAAACCATTTTGGAATGGACCTCGCACCATCTGCGCAGCCGCTGCACCGCACAACATTCGGGATCCTAAGCGGTGAGGAGGTCTGGGGCGAAACGCACGGACCGCCCTGTCGACGCGTCTGGGGGTGCTGCAGAGGGAGGAGTGACTCATGAGGGGAAGGGAGAAAGGAGGAGGAGAAGGACGAGGAAGATGAGGAGCAGGAGGTGCAGGAGGAGGAGGACGAGCAGGAGGAGGATCCGGGATGGAGGAGCAGGAAGAGCAGGAGGAGCAGGATAAGCAGGAAGAGCAGGAGGAGGAGGGGAATGGATGGAGGAACAAGAGGAAGAGGAGGGGAAAGCTGGCGAGGGAGAGGAGCACTGCGACGAGCAGGGGGAGGGGGGCACAGTGCGGAGCAGGAAGAGCAGGGCCAGAGGAGAAGGGAAAGCGTTTGCACACCGTGCCTGTGCCAGGGACGTGGTCGGCGCTGAAGGGGGCTCCTCCTCCTCCTCCTCCTCCCCCTCCTCCTCCCCCTCCTCCTCCGTCCCCTCATCCTTCTTTTCCCCTTCCTCCTCCACCTCCTCCTCCTCCTCATCCTCCTCCACGGCATCAGCGTCATCATCATCAGCATCATTCAAACTCATCATCAAACTCATCATCACCAGCATCCTCATCCTCATCCTCATCCTCGTCAGCCGCATCTCTCCCACATCCCACCGTCGCCATGTGGGCCCTGGACTCGAACCAAGACGGCGAGAGCGAGCCCCACGCTGGCACGGCAGCGCGGGCTGCCCGCTGGAACAGCCGACGCCGCTGCTGCCGCCGTGCTGCCCGCCGCTCGTGGCGACCCGTGGCGCGCCGAGGACACGCCTGCGAACCGCCGACTGATCCAGCCGGCATCGCTCCAGCTGCTCACCAGCGCCGCGGCACCGCCGCCCGACGCGCGCCCGAGCTCGACGAGACGCCGAGCCACCTCGCCAGCCAGGCCTGCTCCGTCAGCTCCGACGCGCACCACAGTGCAAGGGCCGGCAGCTGCGACACCTACTACTTCAACGCCGATCCCTCGCAGCATACGTGCGACCTCTTCAGCGAGACCTACGCCTGGGGCCGATGTCGGCGGCAGCGGCGGCGACGCCAGCAGCCAAGCCGAGGGCGGCGTGGCGCCGGCAGCCTTCCTCAGCAGTGTCTGGGAAGTGGTGGAGCAGGCGCCCGCGAGCAGCCGAAGGCCAAGCAGAAAATCACCAGCGGAGCGCTGGCCCGCGACAAGCGGGAGGAGACCGCGAGGGACGACGAGGATGACAAGGACCAGGGCAGGGGCCTACGTCGTCGGCGGGGAGGTCGACGCAGACGCGGCAACCACTCGGAGAAGCAGTGGACCAGCAAGGACCGCAGCGTCCACGACCTCCTGCTGACCATGGCCAAACTCCTGCTCCAGACCACGCCGAGGAGCCGCCTGCTGGCGGCCAGCACCATCGACACGACCCAACTCCCAGTCGAGCATCAACCTCGCGGACGAACTCGAGGAATACACCCTGCGAAATGCTTAAGAAATCATAGGTTAAGAAATTCACAGTCTCAGAACTTGAATAAAAACCCAACGTTTCCATTATAATCTTAAGATTTACATTGAAATATTAAGAATAATCGAGACTCTGGCCGAAAAGTTAAGTTTTCTTAAGCATCGCATAAGGTGTACAAGAACGAGATCGACGGGCTGCGCCAGACAGACAAAGGCCAAGCTCGCCACACTCGGCCCCCCGACGGCTTCTTCGCTCGCGGTCGTCATCGTCGAGACGCTGGCGGCCGCGGACGTGGGCGGAGCGCTCCGAGCCTCACTCAACGCATGGCTCGAATAGGTCCAACCAGCGGAGGCCGACGGCACAGCGACGATCACCAAGCACGACATCGAAGACAGCACAGCGTTCATCCGAGTGGAGTCGTGCCACGACAAAAAGTTCATCAAGCTCCAGCTCTCGATGAACAACTTCAGCCTCCGCCAGGACGTACTGGCAGGCTTCCGCTCCGAGGGAGTGGGCAAGGTGATGACGGGAGTAGCGCCCCCAGGATGGCTCGAAGAGGAGCTCGGTACGTGGGTAGACACGCTCCAACAGGAGTGAATGAGCATCGCCCAGTCCTGTTTGCGCGTGGCCAGTCTCTCCCGCCCGAAGTGAATGAGCATCGCCCAGCCCTGTTTGTGCGTGGCCAGTCTCTCCCGCCCAGCGAATCTACGTGCACGGTGCACTCAGGATCGGAAGTCCGCCGACATCCGAAGTTCCCCTTTTTCCTGAGACCACCGCCTCGCGCCTGTTCTCAGCCTGCCAGCGCCAACGCGCGCACTCGCTTGTTTAACCCTCGCCCGACAGCCAGCCGCTCAGACGCCGCTACTGTTGCACCCGAGCCAGGCGATGAGGATGTTTCAAGCCCAGTGCTCGAGCTCGATCACGCCGACCTGGACGCCCAGGAGACAGAAGCCATGGACTTCCTAGGCCTCTAACTTTGCAAGCTTGTAAGTCCCCGCAGCTGCCGAGGATTTCTGCTGGGGCCCTCCTTTTGTGGCGCAAGCCTGGGGAATCTGTTCGGGGTTAGATGATATAAACGCGTAAGCCTTCAGCCATCAGCCGAGGCCGAGCACGCAGCAGGTTTGTCGCTCGTCGTAGCCCCCTGTTCCTCGCGTGGCGCGCCCCAGACAAGCGAGAAAGGGCAACGGCGCCCTGCGACGGGAATCCTTTTAGTGCAGTTCCCTCGCATACAATCCACAGACTGAAGCAATGAGGATTGTCCCCGAAGTCGATGGATGAAACAAGCAACCTCATCAACATCATCATAATACTCATCATCATCATAATCATCATCATCATCATAATTATTATCAAACTCATCATCACCATCATCCTCATCCTCGTCCTCATCAGTCTCATCATCATCATCGTCATCATCAGCATCATCATCGTCGTCATCATGATCATCATCATTATCATCATTATCAGCAGCAACATCATCAGCATCAGCATCATCATCATCGTCATCAGCATCATCATCAGCATCATGCGCCCATGATCATGACTATGATCATGATCATCATCAACACCATCATCATCATCATCATCATCACCATCGTCGTCGTCATCATCATCAGCATCATAATCAACAGCGGCTTCATCATCGTCCCATCAGCATCGTCGTCATCAGCATCAACAACATCATCATCATCGTCGACATCAGCATCAACATCATCATCAGCATCATCAACACCACAATCAACACCATGATCACCATCAGCGTTATCATCATTACCATCATCATCATCACCATTGGCAACACGATCATCATCATCAGCATCATCATCAGCAGCATCGTCATCCTCATCATCCCTATCATCATCAGCATCAGCATCAGCATCAGCATCATCATCATCATCATCATCATCATCATCATCATCATCATCATCATCATCATCATCAACATCATCGTCATCATCATCACCATACTCATCGATAACATTATCGCCGTCGTCGCCGTCGTCGTCTCGTTTCTTTCCTCCTCCTCCTCCTCCTGTTCCACGTTCCACCCCGTTGTCCGCATCTCCCTCCCCCCTCCTCTTCCTCCTCGTCCCCCTCCTACTTCTATAACACCTCTTCTTCATCCTCCCTCCCTGCCTCCCTCCCTCCCTTCCCCCCCCCCCCTCCTCGTCCCCCTCCTCCTCCTCCTCCTCCTCCTCCCTCCCTTCCCCCCCCCTCCTCGTCCCTCCTCGTCCCGTCCCTCCCTCCCTCCCTCCCTCCCCCTCTCATCTTCCTCCTCGTCCTCCTCATCCTTCTGTATCACCCTCTTCTTCATCCTCCCTCCCTGCCTCCCTCCCTCCCTTCCCCCCCCCCCCTCCTCCCTCCCTCCCTCCCTGCCTCCCTCCCTTCCCCCCCCTCCCATTTCTCAGCTTCCCCAGATTGGGGCGGTGCCCGCTTTGCTATTGGGGATGGGCGCCGCAGGTCCTGAATCACGGCTGGCTGGCAGTACGGCAAGGTGTAGTACCGGTAGGGCAGCTGCGTCTTGACTGACGTCAGCTTGTTCACCTCAAACCCCTCTCTCGACCCCTCAGCCTGTGGCTCCTTTTCGACGTGGGGCTCCAGGCTCTCGCTTGAAATGGGGATCTTGCTAAATGCTTTCGCAGCGCAAATCATTCGGATGGAGAGCTGTCGTTCTCAAAAAAGGTGTTCTGGCTTGAAGCACTCCCAAGGATCCCCAAAAATGCGTGCAACGACTGCACTGGTAGAGGTCTTGCTGCCTCTCAAGCATGAAAACAGGCTCTTGATCGCATTGCTCTAACACAAATGCAAACGTACATACGTAGATACGCCCATTTGAACATACGTATATCCATACGTACGCATATACATATATGCATGCATGCATACATACATACATACATACATGCATACATACATTCATACATACATATAGACACATTCAGACCATAGCCAAAATCATCTGCGTGTACACATACAGATGGATGTGCATATGCATATACCTATACATGCATACTCGCATACACGTATACACACTTACCTATATACCTGCATACCTCCATACATACTGACATCCGCACATACACACACATACATATATATATATACGTACACGTACCCATACGTGTATACATATATATATATATATATATATATATATTCATACATACATACATACATACATACACACATACATACATACATACATACATACATACATACATACATACATGCATACATACATACGTGCACACACGTAGAGACATGCAGACATACATACATGCATGCATACATGCATGCATGCATGCGGGCATGCATGTATAAGCTCATACGTACATATATACACATACGCACATGCATACTTACCTGCCTGTCTGCCTGCCTGCTGGCCTACATACATGCGTACATACATACATACATACATACACACATCTACACATGCATGTGCACACGCACATGCACATACATAAACATACACATACATATACGCAGACCTATACATACTCATACATGCATACTCGCAAACATGAATGCATGAATGCATTTATACAACAAGACAGTCAGACAGACGACCGACAGACAGAGAGGCAGGCAGACAGACAGACAAGCATACAAACATAGAAACATACATACGTACGTACGTATGCATATATTACACACATCTCTCTATATATATATATATATACATATATCGGAGGTTGGGGGTGAGTCCGACGTGAAACGGAGACCCCCCCCTACTGGGAAATCGATTTCGGTTTCGGGTTCGTGTCGTGCGTGCCGTGCGTGCGTGCGGGTGAGGCGAAGCTGCGTGGGCGGGCGAGAAGAAATCCTCCTGTGGCTGGGCCGCGGCCGGACCAAATGCAACTCCTCCGGCGGCCGGTGTCGCGCGGTGTCCCGCTGGTGTCCCACTGGTGACCCGAAATTCTCCTGTGGCTGGGCTGCGGCCGGACCAAATGTAACTCCTCTGGCGGCCCGTGCCTTGCGGTGTCCCGCCGGTGTCCCGCAGGTGTCCCGCCGGTGTCCCGCTGGTGTCCCGTGGTGTCCCGTTGAGTGAGATCGATAGTGAGATCGAAAGTGAGACCGATAGTGAGATCGATAGTGAGATCGATGTGGTGCCCGAAGGTGTCCCGCGGTGTCCCAAAAAGTGAGGTCGATAATGAGATCGATAAAGAGATCGACAGGTGTCCCGTGGTGTCCCGTCATGTCCCGTGGTGTCCCGTTGAGTGAGATCGATGGTGAGATCGATGTGGTGTCCCGAGCTGTCCCGTGGTGTCCCGTTGAGTGAGATCGATAGTGAGATCGATAATGAGATCGAGAGGCGTCCCGAGGTGTCCCGTGGTGTCCTGCGGTGTCCCGTTGAGTGATATCGACAGTGAGATCGACAAGTGTCCCGTGGTGTCCCGTGGTGTCTTATGGAATAAAATCAATAAGAAAATCAATTAAATCAGATGTTGGTTCCCCCCCTCTCCCCCCCCATAACACCCTTATCACCCAAAGGGAAGTCGTATTATGTGTGCACGTGGATGTGAGCGTGTCAACCCCAATAATGTGTATGTGTATATATATATATATGTCCTCCAACATGCCTCTATCACTAAGTGGAGTGCCCCCCGGCTCAGAGACGTGCTGCTGCAATCAAGATACTTTCTGAGAGGCCTGGAACTCCGGATTCTCGGGCCGTTCCGGGATCTGCTGGGGTCGTCCAGGATCTTATGGGGGTCATCCCGTGAGATCTGGAGTGTTTCCTGCAGCTCCTCTGGACTCTACGCCCGCCCCAGACGACCTCCTGAACCCTCCGATGTGTCCGTAGAACTCCGATTCGCCGCAAGATCGCTCCAAGACGCCACGCCCGCCATAACCAACCTCCTGAACCCTCCGATGTGTCCATGAGGACTCCGATTCGCCGCAAGATCGCTCCAAGACGCCCAAGATGACTTCCAGACGGCGCAAGAGGCTAACATCCGACGACGTCCGCTTGCCGGGGGTGCAAAAGCTTGTGAGATGAGTGGCTGTCCCCACCTCCTTTCCCCTCCCCTAAGGGTCTGAAATCCCATGAGAAGGGGGGGGGACCAGGAGGGTCTCCAGGGGGGCACCAGGGGAGTGGGGTCGGGTAGGAGCTCCCAAAAAGCATCCCTGGGGCCTCGGGAACCTCCAAATCTAGAGTCTGTGGCCTCCAGGATGCCCAAGATGCCAGCTAAGCTGGCTCAAGCTGGGCTCTAACACGCCGAGTCCTCAACGACGACCTACTTAAATGGCCTCAAGACTGTCCAAGAGGCTTCACAGACGCCTCAAGAGGGCTCCAAGACGAGCCCCGAGAGGGCCCCACGAAGCAAGAATCGTTCAATTCCCGAGGAGAAACGTATCTGTTGGGCGTGCTCGCATTTGTTGTTAACAGCGTCCAAGACGACTCACGAGGCATCCAAGGTCGTTTCAAGACGGCCCAAGAAGCCCCCAAGAGGGCCCCAAGACGGTCGAATAGGGCTCTAAGACGGCCCAAGAGGCGCCCAAGATGGCCCAGGAGAGCCCCAAGAGAGCCCCAACAGGGCCTTCTTCTTCTTGCTCATGGGGACCAGATCCAAGGGGGCACACTGAACTCGCGACGCTGTAACTAAACAGCGAAACCTCTAGGCTGCCTAAGGGGTTGTTCCCTGAGGAGGCTTATCCTACGAAGCCGCCCTAAACTTTGCGAAACGATGCGATCCACACTCGGCCAATTGCCGCACGGACCCTGCCAGCGCGGCCTCAAGAGGGGCCCCAGAGAAGTCACTCGACTTGACACTCCGAGGCCCTCCAGCAGGCGCCCAAGCATCTCTCAAGGGGCCCGAAGCGGCCCCGGGCCCCAAGAGGCCTCACCCTTAGACTTCATCTGGGGGTCGGCGGCATGTCGACAGGGAGAAGTTGTCTAGAAGAAAAAGAATGGAGAAGGAGGAGGAGGAAGAGGACGAGGAGGGTGAGGAAGAGGAGGAGGAAGAGGACGAGGAGGGGGAGGAAGAGGAGGAGGAGGAGGAGGAGGAGGAGGAGGAGGAGGAGGACCAGTGTAAACCCAAGAGTGGTTTTAGAAGGACCTTCGTGTTTCCACCTTTTCGGGCGCCCGACGCTCCACGACGGCCAGAAAGCTGCCCCCCCCAAGAGGCCTCCAAGACGCCTCGAGAGGGCTCCAAGAGCGACCCAAAAAGGGACCCAAGAGGGGGGGCGCGAACAGAAAGAAATGCCGAGCTCCCCTCCCCACGAGACCCCCCAAATGCCCACGAGGCCCCCCACGAGGCCCCCCAAAGGGTCCTCCAAGGGGCCCGCAGGAAGCCCCCAAGAGGCACCCGACAGGCCCCCAAGAGGCTTCTGAGGGGCGTTAAAAACTTCCCCCCCAGAAGCCACCGAGAGCCCTCTGAAGAGATCCCACGAAACGCGAGGATTCCGCCTCACAACCCACACACGGTGGCGGGATGGGCCGAAGGCCACTAGATGTGAGTCGGGCCTGTCCCCCAACAGGCCGATTTTGGACGAAAAAAACGTAATCTCCCAAACATGTTCGAAACATGCAAAACATGTTCAAAACATCGTCCCCTGGCTACTTCTACAACTACTTCTTGAATGGCCCCCCTGTAGAGGGACAGGCCCGACTCAAAACTAGACGCGCCGCCCCCCGTGCTTGTCACAGGGGCACACGGCGTGTTGAATTTGACTACTGCAGGTTCGTGTCGTGACGACCCCGGCGTTGGTTCCCGACACCGCGCTGGATCGTTCAACCTTGAACGATCGGCCGCTGCCGCAACGTCCAATCGTTCAACATCGACCGATTCTGGGTCGCCGCCGGCGTTCAACGTTAAACGCCGCGGGCGGGGTCGCCGACGGTCGACACGACGCGAACCTGCCGTAGGCTTCTGCTACTTTTGGAAGCTCCCCCTTTGGGCTTCGGCCCAGCGCGCCGGCCACCCGCAGGCCTGGGAAAAATGTCGCTCTCCGTGGGTCCCATCGCCTCCAAGACGGCCAGGATGGCCTGCAGATTTGCCCAATGTGGTCCAGATGGCCTCCAAAACGGCCCTGGAGGGCCCAAGATGTCTCCACGTCGGCCCAAGAAGCCACCAAGACAGCCCAAGATGGCTTCAAGATGGCCCAAGAGGCCCTCAAGAGGCCTTTAAGAAGGCCCAAGAGGCCTTCAAAAGAGCCTCCAGGGAGGCCCGAAGAGGCAAAACTGATTTCTGTTCTCTTGGTGTTTGAAGGATTTTGGTATTTGCTTCTTTTCGGCCCTCCGACGGCAAAAGATGGCCCAAGAGCCCCCCAAAATCACCCAAAAGACCTCCAAGATTGCCCCCGAATGGCCAAAGAGGCCCCCAAGATGGCCAAACAGGCCTCCAAGACGCCCAAGATGGCCTTCAAGACGGCTCTGGAGCACCCCAAGAGGGCCCCGAGTCGGTTCAGAGAGTCCCCCGAGACGGCTTCCGACGGCGTCAGACGGGCCAGAGACGCCCTAAGACAGCCGAAAAGGCCCCCAAGAAACCCCCGAAGACCTCCAAGAGGCCAAATGAGGCCCCAAGAGGCCTCCTAGAGGC